TATATATATATATATATATATATATATATATATATATATATATATATGTATGTATGTATGTATTTTTTTACAATAAACTGAAAACACATAATATCTATAAATTAAAGTGACATTCTCATGAAGCTTTTGTCATAACAATGGTATAATTCAGTATACCATTGTTGTGGTAAGCTGACAATGGTACGCCATGACAACCGTATACAAATGAGCTTGCCAATGCTGTCGGCATTGAGCTTTACAAAGAGCTCGCTTGGCTTGTGTTTTTTGAAAACATTCTCATGTTTTCATGTAGTATATACGCTCTGAAATTTGAAACCTCTCGAGGACATAATAAGAGCCAGGTTATGGAAAACATAACACTAAAGCCAGATTGGTTTCTGGCAGTGTTTGTTGTGTAGACATGACTGCAATGTTCCAGATATGGGAGCCAAACTTTACAAGCTGCTTAGTCAGGCCAGGTTTTTCCACAAAGTGCAGTTAATAATATGGTAAAATAAATTTAAAACCAGAGTAACCAGTCTGGTGGTTGATTAAGACATTTGCCATAACAGTGGGTTTTCCAGCCCATATATATTGTATTTTATAATAAATCTGCAAAAAAGTGGCTTACAGATTTCTTACAGAGATCCTAATGTTTGTTCAAAAACTAGTAGAATACACTAGATCAGTTAAGATTTTTTTTTTAAAGTAATTTAAAACCTTTTGTTAGCATAAGCATGTTATGGACTATTTGCAAATCCTCCTTGCTCAGCACTTCCTGTTCAAAATTTTAATCAACTCATTAGCTTGCACTCACAGCCTTTACAAATGTTTCAAAAGTGCATGCTTCCTGTTTTAGGACTCTTCTGTAACAGCGTTGTCTCATTGATTCCTGTCCAGACTAGGAAGCAGATCCATTTGTAGGTATTCATAAGTCAGCTGCTCCGCACAGTCAGAGGTCTAATCTACCATGCAGGAAAGCCAAGTCAATCATTAGATACAAGGACAGTGACTTCACTGAAGGTTTGTTGTTGGAACATCTGAGACCACTTTGCAAGAAAACCAAAAAAAAAGTGTGAGATCTGCTTTTGTGCTTTAATGTTTGCACCACAGTGAAATGGAGAGTGTAAATTGTTTGCTTCACTGAATTTCTGCTTTGGAGATAAATGACTGTAGCAATGCTAAGTGTTGAATGTAGGATGCAGATTGCTCTATAAAAAAAGAATTGATCCTAAGATATTCTTTTCCATTCAGATGAAGTACTGATGTCTATGATGAATCCTCTCAACCCATTACTGTAGGTTGTTTTTTTTTTTTTTATCTGCTATTCACAAAAAACGTGTATTTGCAGTTCAGAGAAGATCACTTTTGCATTTTAGATCGTAAAAACAATTCAGTCAGCAGCTATGAAACGTAAAAATCGAGCTTAAATTTCAGCATGCACAGCATGCATACGTATGGAACCTTTACTGTTAATTTTCCCCCCGAAAACCTAGATAATGGATGGATTTAAGTATGACCAATTTAAGAGATTCTGTTTGAGCTCTAATTAGCTAGTTTTTGTGTTATCGCGACTAAAAACATTCACTGCCTTCTCCAAGGAGTGCTAATAAGAAGACTTTATGCTTTAATGCTTGTTGGAAATACCAGGCAGCCCAAACTGTACATACACTATTCTTTAAATTACTGCTGGTATACTTTTCTTTGTGCTTTCTAAAGGTTATTAACAGAACCTCATCATTTTCAGAAAAATGACTTTGAGAAACCAGAATTGTGTCTACAGCAATAAAGGAACGGGACGAATTTAAATGGGATCTTTAGGCATTGTGTCTGGATCAGCAGCAAACTTTGAAGAAATTAGAGATGATGCAGTTATTCTATTATCCTACATTAGATAACAAACCCTTTATTTTGAGTTTATGGATTTTTTTTTTTTTATCTTGCAGTATATGCCTGTAGGATTATATTGCTTCTCTGACCACAGCATAATTGAGCTTCAACTGTTTCACTGTTGCATTAAAATACCTTCAGGATCATGAATGATAATGTTCCCTACGTTTTAGACACAAGTGACTCTAAGGCCACCGGCCGTAGCGCCCTAGTTCCCAGTAACCTGATAAGACTGGTTGATGCAATAAACATTGTGGACAGGAGGTGGAAAATTTGCTGATTCATTAGAAGACTGTGTGGTTGCTTTGGAGATGACTTGTTTCCGTGAAATTAAAATCCTGGTGGTCTGATATCCCCAGTGGATTTAGCCTTAGTTTATTGATGTTATTAAGTAGCTGTCAGGTTTTAGGGTGATTGGCTCATCGGTTTTGTCTCCTGTCTGTGGCAGATAGTTGCCATTGGTTTTCAGAGTAAACAGTGCATTTGCACTAAAACTCTAGCACCAATCAAGATGGCAGGGTTTTAGTTTTAACAGTCTATTATTTTTTGTTTTGTTTTGTTTTTGCACTCAGCAGACTGAAGATGGACGCCACTTCGTCTCCACAGATCGTGGGGGAGGCAGAGTCTAGGAGCAGTGCAGATCTTCATGGAGATGACCATCTATTGACGCTAAAGGCTTTGACTGAGAAATTGAGACTGGAGACCAGGAGGCCGTCTTATCTGGAGTGGAAAGCCCTGGAGGCAGAAAGCGTCAAAGATTCACAGACTGGAAAATTCCAGATTCAGGAGGAGCGGGATGGGCAACCAGTCACGTACAAAGAGTCTGCGGCAAACTCGGATAAAAGTCAGCGAAAGCAGCCCTCGGGTGTGCTGAAGGGCTTTGAGAACATCGACGAAGCTCTCTCTTGGCTCAGAAAAGAACTGGTGAGCTTTTTGATCGTCGGACATTTTAGACATATTTGTAGGCATATTTGTTTTGGTTCCGCGTTTCACAGAAGTTCTGTGCAACATTTGAGATTCAAGCATTAAACCTTTTTTTTTTTTTTTTTTTTTTTTGCTTGCTACTTAGCCAATTAGAGTTTAACAAAGCTCACGCTGTCCAATTAGTGGCCAGAAGAATGCCATTCATGTCAGACAGTGTGATCGATTGTGAACCCGACAACAGAATTACACAGATTTTTCTGCGAGTGTAATCATCTTTACTCTGCTCAATTACTTTGCATATTCAGCCACGGCTCATGAGCTCGGATCGAGCAAACAAAGAGGCACTTATGGAGGCGGACTTGCGCGGTATGGGGCCGCAAACATATTGCACAAGGAACCCCGGCTGACCGTGATCTTTGTGCAGAAGGGGAGGGAAAATGAGCAAAAAGCGAAAAGTTTGTTTCTGGATGTCCCACTGTGAGCTTTCCTCTTTAGATGCTACTTCACAATAAGGACCACACACTGAGATCTGAGGTCAATAACGTCCATATAAGCAATGAGCAACTTGTTACATTTCAGTAAGTGCCCTAAAAGTGCCTTAGAGAGGAAGGCTTGTGCACTCTAAAACAGCTTTAACGCACTGTTGTGACAATGAAAACAACAAAAATGTCCAGTGTTCTGACTGAGTAATTGCCTCTTGTCTTCTCTTGTTTAGACAGACATGCGCTTGCAAGACCAGCAGCTGGCCAGACAGCTCATTCGACTCCGGAGCGACATCAACACGCTGAAGATCGAGCAGACGTGCCACCTGCACCGTCGCATGCTCAACGACGCCACCTTCGGCCTTGAGGAAAAGGACGAGCTGTCCGACCTGCTGTGCGAGTGCCCCGTCACCCCAGGGCTCGGGCTCTCGGCCCCCCTGAGGCTAATCGGGATCACTAAGATGAACATTAACTCTCGAAGGTTCTCGCTCTGCTAGGCCAAACTCTGTGTCAAGCGACTGCAAGAAATCCTTAAAAAACTTGCCGAGGACCAAGTTTGAGTCATGTAAGTCGACAGATGGTGTATTTGCCATTAAAGTTCCTTGCAAAAGTACCGATGCCCCTTGACTTTTTACACATGCAAAATGCAGTGGGCGGAGGAACGTCGTCTGCGTTGAAGTCATGGGAGATGTTATAGGATTTATTAATGATCTGTCCGAGAGAATGGGGAGAATATAGAGCAAAAACAGACGTGGGCCCAATACAGAGCCTGGATGTGTACAAGTAGAACCTAACATGATGGTGTTTATGTGGACACACAGGCTTCTGTTTCCACAAAGCTAATTTTTTATTAATAATTCGGAGGGCTCAACAATATAAGAATGCTCTTTATTAGTATCATTGTAATTTGTTGTCTTACTAGACATAGCCTCTACTATAAAAATTATTGATATAATCATGTAATCAGCCAGAATAATTAAAATTATTTTGGTCAGGCGTAGCTCCTGGAGGCTTTACTGTTGATTTAGTGCTGCAATATATTTCGAAGTGACTCCCGTCAGCAAAATACAGGATAAGCACGTTTTTATCAGGTGTCGTTGGTGCTCAGGTATCGATTCCAAAAACTGCAAACTGAAACACATAAGTACAAAAGTACAGGTTGTTTTCACCATTGATTTCTGGCTTTAAGCTACCTATTGATTTTTGAGTTACTATACTAACTGGGATTTCCAGTCAGGAGACAGAGATGTTGCACAAAGCCGATGGGAAGTAACAAGTGGACACCATTCTGTAATTCTTGAATCTTTCTGTCCAAAAAGAGAATTCCATAAAGATGTTAGTAGGTGTAAATATTTTCATGTATGACCGACACCTCTTTTTAAAGTTATTACTGATAAAGAGAAACAACCACTTGTTTTGTTAATATGTACTCGTCTGTGCAGTAAATGTTTAAGACAAATTCCTCTCTTACTTGAAGTGAAGAATGTTTTCTTCACACTGCAGCTCTGCCCACCAGCTGTCCCTTATGATGTTATTCATTTCATGCCTAAACAGATTCATTTGCATGATAAAATGGCAGGACTGAAACGCAGCATGATCTGCACGACGGGCATGAAATCTGACACAGCACCCAAAATAAAGAAAGACTGGATATATTTCTTTAAAAGTAGGTTAAATAAGTCTCTAATGATTTAAGCAGCTTCTACAAAATATGTCCTCTTATTTAAGTTTTCCCTCGCACTGATTTTTATGTTCCTGAAAGAGAAATGAATCCCCCAGCTGCCACCCGCTCCCAGTAAAACAGCAGATGTGACACCCGCTTCTCACCAGCACCGGGCTGCAAACCGTAGCGCGAACGCGGCAGACAGGAACGTCACCGAGGTGAACCGCAGGGTGACACGGGCCAGATTCCCAGACTTCCTTCTCAGACTCACGGCGAGACTTTTGTGTGGGAGTGTTTTGGCACATCTCTCAGATATGAACTGCGAAGATGAAACTGCTTGGTGCCACGAACAGGAAAAAGAAGCTCGATGACTTATATTTTACTGACCACATTTGGCTCCTTTTTCGTTGCCGACTTGAATTATGTTGACTTTTCCTTTCTGAAAATATCTTTTGTTTATTTATTAGTGATTTACTCAAAGTCTTTGACAAGCAAAATAAAATTGTACTGTTAAGTGGTGTGGACTTAGAGACTTTATGTCAGAGGGAAAATTTTGAACCCGGTCCTGGAGTCGTATCCAAGAGTGGAAAAACAGTTTTACCAACATAGGAATGGTAATTTTAGGAAAACTTTTTTTTTCTTTCCAACCAGACTGTACATGTTATTTATGAACAGAAAAAATAAAATTTGAACTTAATTAGTCAATTGGTTTATCTTTTTTTTTTTTTTTTTAAGAGCTGCTGGTAACCAGAAAATTCAAAAGTAAATAAAAAAATAAGCTAAAATATCTGCTGCAGGTGGATTGAGCAGCTGTAAAAGTAAAAAAATAATTGATATTTTCTTAACCAATAACTAAGACGTTATAACTACGACTTAAGTTTTGACAAAGATGTGAATGTCTTCCAAATTTTAAGCTAATGATGCCAAATCTGACTGTAAGCTTATCCAAAATTAGACATGTTTATCTCTTTTTGGAGCAAGCTGAACCCATTTAATGGCTCCACAGGAAGAACACCCAGGCAGCGTCATACAGGCGTAATAACAGGGGCGCCGGTCAGCACTAGAGGGGCAAACTCTAAAACACAATCTTCTCTTTTAATGGCTTCGTCTGACAAGCTCTGCTATGTCGTAATTGCGTGCTTCAAAGAGGTGCTCTGTTCGTTCTAAAATTGGATTAAAGACGAAAAGTTACTGGAGACCAATTAGTGTTTCTCCCCGTAATGTGAGAAAACATTTTGGTTGCACTGACGGCGTGTCAATCATTTAGTCTCCAGCTGAAGCAAAAGCGAACGAGGGACAATATCACAGACTTGGTTCAAATAAAGTTGTCAAGGAGAAGAAGCCCCGTTCTACAGTTCTGCTCTATTTCAATCCGCATGATGTGACCAAGGTAAAAAAAAAGGTTGGGGTTACGTTAAAAGTGGTTAAGAGGGGGAAATTCTACGGAATTGGATGAGGAACAGGAAGTGGAAACATGCTGAGAGGCATCGGAGAATGGAATGCGACTAAACCGAGCTTGTCCTGCCGATATCTCCATCCCACAGACTCTGAACTAATCCCCGACCGTGGCGGCATTCAGCAGGACCACTTTGGTGGAGCTGAATCAAGTTCCACGGCAGCTTAGGTGCATCCGAGCAAATGATCCGAGGATCATAATAAGATTGTAAAATCGTTCCCTGATGTAGGAAAGTCGAGTCAAACGCAGTTATTTCCACTTCAAAACCGCACACTGAAAACACCAGGACACAGTAATTAGGTGAGACACTGTCACAAGTGTTTTTTTTTTTTATGCAACATCATGATGCTTGCAATTATGCAATACCAAAATATAAATCAATGTAATTGATTTGTTATGCATTAACCACAACTTGCCGCAGAACTGCTCTAAGAGTCACTAAGAACCTGCCGGCAGCAGAACTGCAGTGTTTAGGCACGACGACAAATTTAATGCAACACAAAAATGACCTGAATGTTGAAAACAATTTACATCAACCATCCATAAGCTGGCCTTGTCACAAAAAAAAATAAAAAATACAGTCCACACAGTGTGGCTTTAAATGAATGCAGCCGTTTCTTTTACAGCGTCTTCTAGGTCAGTTTGAATAAGGCAAAAACATATAAACAGAGTAAGCGCTGATTAACAAAGTGTGAGGTAAAAGCAGAACTTACAATACTACACATAGCAAAAACGTTACATCCTTACATCGAAACAAATGAAGAAAACCAAAGGTGGATGAAGCCGATTAATTCACGGTTAAATTAAGATACAAATCTCAGTCTTAACCTTCTAAAATGTCTGCACAGTCTATCGGTGGATTCTCCAGTCGCTGCTGCGCTGACTGGAGAGCTAAGCTTTGTCACAGAGAGCAAGTGGCAGATGCTGCCAATAAACGAGTACAAAACCGAAGATAAAGTTTAAAAAATAACTCTGAGGCGAATCCAGCTGAAATGTAAAACAATAACTACAAGTCCACTACAAGGTCTGCATAAGTGCGCGAGTCGACTCGACAAAGATTTTCCTTAAATGTACAGGGCCGACGGAACGTCCTCTTGATAATTAGAGGAATAAACGTATAAACCAAATCTTAGGTCAGTGCTAAGGACCACCTTCATCTGATCCGCTTTAGTAAAGCCAACCGCTCGTCTGAGGCGTGGCCGTGGTTTCGCGCCGACAGGTCAGGGGGTCACCGCCTCCTGGTCCATGCTGCAGCCAAGAGCTTCGATGTCGTTGCTGATGTCAGTAATCATACGGTCCCATTCGTCGCCCTCCGAGGCGTCCCGCCCCTCCTCCGACGCCGTGCTGTCGCCGCTGCCTCCCGCCGCTCCGTTGCCGTTGGTGGTGGAGTCGGAGGCGGAGCTGGCCGTGCGTTTGCAGCGGCCGAAGCTGTCTGTGATTATGCCGCGGCCGTCCTTCACTCCGATGGTCTCTAGGAAGTTTTCAAAGTGCTGGCTGTCCTTCTCGGGTATGAAGGGACGCAGGCCTTGACGGGACGACAGAAATAGTGTCAAACATCTCTTTGACACAACGAAAACACTAAATGTTTAGAAAACATACACAAATTTGTGTGTTTTATTGGGACGTTATGTACATGTCAAAACAAAATTTGCCTCTTCCATGTTCTTGAGTATATGTTGGCCTATTAAATCATCATCATATTGTAGTCTGATAAAGCTTTGTGACGGTGAGATAAGGCGTTTGTACCGAGCAGGAGGAACTTCCTGCTGTCCCCGTAGAGCTGCCGCAGGTTGATGCAGAACTCGTGAAAGGAGGAACCGTTCCTGTATTCATGGAGCAGAGCTGCAAACTGCTGGATCTCCTGCGATGATAGCTTTGTTCGCAACTGTTCCGAGAGAGAAAAAAAAAAAAAAAAAAAAAAAAAAAACACACACAAGCCAGAAATCATTAACGAGTTGAAAGTGTTTTAGAGAATGCCTAAGCTATGTGTGCTCCCTATGAAGCGAAAAAAAAAAAAAAAAAAAAAAAGATGAAACGTCGTACTGTAGTCATGTAGTCCTGTAGAAGCTCTGCAGCAGTGGTGCTGAGCTCTCCTTCACTTGGGGCCTTTGTCTGAGGGGATGCAGGGGTGGATGTAGATGGAGAGCTTCCTTCTGTGGCCTCGAAAGGACTGAATAAATACACACCAGTGTAAGCTGTAAGTGAACCAGTCTTTAAATTAAAAATGGTTGTGCGCAAATGTACATACAACGGGCTGGTTTCTCTCTCAAAAGCCTCCTTGACATCTACTTTGCTCGAAGAGTCGTCTTTAAAATGACAAAATATTTACAGCTTAAGGTTAGCATAACTGAACAGCTTACGTAGCATTATTTAGAGGGTTAGGGTTAGGGTTAGGGTTCCTCACCACTGTACAAAGAAGGGTGTCTTGTAGGCGTTGTAGCTCCATCAAATATGGCTCTGTCTAGAAAGTCTATAGTTGATTCTGTGTAAACAATCTGAAAGACCTGGCTGAGCAAAAGACACAGTTCCTCCGCTGCTGCCTGCAAGAAAGAAATGAAAAAAATATTAGAAATGTTCACTTCTGACCATAATGAAATACAAAATAGCCCTGACAAATAAATACAGAGCGAGAAACAGAACTATATGCAACTGTCATTAGTTTTCGTTAACAGTGCGGGTGGTTTTAAAGTCGTCAGCAGCATCTCTGTTTACATTTCAGGAAACGTACCTTATTATCAACTGCTAGGACAAGAAGACAGCAGACCTCCACCAGCACAGCCCCGCTCTCCGACAGGGAGCTGAGAGTCTGGGATTTGTTTAGGTCGGGACACGAGCTGGGACAGGGAGAGCCTCCCGACTCCTGAGCTGAAAAAAAAAAACACAAAACCTTCAGTTCATCTGATTAATTGCTAGCCCAACATCGGTGGCAATATTCCTGATCATGTGGGTTTATCAGGTTTAGCTTGAATAGTTCTGTTGACAGGAAGTTAAATTTGTATTACAGTGGCCTATAAACAATATTTTCTTATTGTGGGGCAAGTTTTGACCAAAGTGAGAAAGTTCCTAAAGAAAATGTGATTTGCACAACATGACCAATAAAAAACAGATTTGGGAAGTGCTTATGCCATATTGAAATCATACTTCAATGTGGCATTTACTAGTGAGGGTAGAAGAATTACATAATGCTGACAGGGTCAAGAGGCCACAGATGGTTTGTCACTTGGAATGTATGGTGAAGTGTTTCCAATACATTTGAGTGTAAGAAAATAAAAGCTATCAAAAAGGATTTTGAGATTTATTCATTTTTTTAAAACTCACTATTATTAAAAAAAAAAAAAAAAAAAAAAAAAAAAAAAAAATATCTCATGTGTGCAATTTTTTTTTTTTGGGGTTTTTT